TGTTCATTAATGAACAATCGTCATTCACCATCGTTAAAACGAAACGAAGCCGTTTTTCAGTTTTAAAGCGCTGCTGAGAATGTGGGCGTACAAGGAACAGTCCAGTTGACCTTCTCAAGTCCGCATACTGGTGATCGACGACAAAGCACGGAACATAGGCAGACAGATATAGTTGCTAATGCAATGTCAAAAGGCATCGATGCTTTGTACATGGCCGAGAAAAACTGCCAAAACACTTTTATGACAGCTGATGAATGGAAAGTACGGAAAATTTAGCCTCATCAGTATCATTCAACTATGCTTCATCAAGGTCTTTATATCGAAGTACAAGTAGGAAAGAATTGGGCCCTATCAGCTATCCTCTCGTCCCATTAGCTCTAAATTAGTACCCGGTTAACTACGACACCCATCCAGAAATAGTTCATCGACCAAATTTCGGCCATATCACTTACAAACAAGATGTGACCGTTCGTTATTTGCGACCTCCAACACCGCCACCGCCAGGTCTAATCGTCATTCACGAAATAAGAGCTTCCGCTTTGCCCGACGCTCCTGCTACTGTAATTAAACAGCGTCCTCCTGTACCACTCACACCACCACCCATCATTGTCCGAAAACGTCCTCCTCAACCTCCCGCCATAATCCCACCTTGACTTGTTGAAAAAGTCATTCCTTCCCCACCAGCAGCTCCTCGAAAAGTGATTATCGAACGAATGTCGGCTTTGCCACCGAAATCTTAACCAGTTATCGAGATATGGTTACCTTATAAACAACAAGAGCAAAGTCGTATTATTGTTCAGCGTGCTCCAGCACCGCCTCCTTTGCCCATACAGTGAAATACGATAATAACACGGGATGCCCCATCTGTTGATATAATCAGAAATGTGCAAAATTTGGGCACTGTTCGTGCTGATCCAATGGTGTACTATCAGCAATTCGATACTTCTCTGACTTCATCGGACTACGTTCTTTCTTAAATGTCAAAATACGATGTGAATTCAGATAATGTATACCAACAGTGCACGACTAATGACTGTGAAGAAGGAGTAGATGCGTTCGCTGATCATCAGGCAAGCGGTCAAAATATTTCTCTGGACACTAGTCATCAGGCTATGTGTCCAAGAATGATTCGAATTTCGATTTGTTCCTCACGTAAGCAAAGTGACGGTGTATTGCATAATCGACTTTGATGCGGTGCTAGCGTTATATTGTATTGCTGCAGAAGATGTGGTTCGCTCAAATTTTAGCGGAAACTGGTACTGTTTATAATTACAGAAGAAATTAATAGTTTATTTATATGTTATAGCGGCAACGTGTTTTCCTTTTGTTTCGTATGCTTCAATGGCATTTTGTTAGTTTTAAATAATATATACACGTTTAGAACTAAAAGAGCTGAGTAACATTTTATGTATATTAGTGGACCGACAATGATTAATAGGTTATTCGAAGTCGTGTGGGTGATTCAGTTAGGTCTGAATCAATTGCAGCTAGGTCTAATCTGGTGTTTACAAAACAATCAGCTATATTTTCAGACTACAAAGCTTGCAACGAGATTCTGAATGGTGGATAATTCCGTTCGTTTTTAAAATTTCAGGACAGATTCCAGAATTTGTGTTCGACAGGTTGGAGATTCGAGTCTATTTATGAGAATTGAAAATCTACTGCGTCTTCTGGAGTCAGCAATCGACTCTCAACAAAAGAGTTGTCAGGTACAATGGCTGCAGATAGTAATTTTTTTCATTTTTCCAGAGAGGCTCGAGAGACTTCCACAGTAGGCTCGATTGAGGACCACTACAATGGTCCTCAGTTACTCAGAATTATTCCAGAAAGAGCACGACACGACATAATATTGTAGAAAGTTTCTTTGGCGCAAATCGTAAACTACACTTGTACATAGGATGAAATGAATCCGCAGATGCCTTAAGTTTTATAATTTCATTTTAACTTCATATTCATTTAATTTTATGCACATATGTACAATTTCTCATTATTCTATTCGTTGTGAAAAAAGTAGCTAGTATTCTCATACAGAAGTACACAAGAAAGAAACAAGATCAGAGCTTATTTTCTAAGGACTAATCGTTTTCATTGATATTGTACTAACGAAAACAAGCTGTTTGTATTACTTTACTCATGAATAAGAACTACAAAAAATAAATAAAAATCAGTTCATCGGGAAAAGCGCTCATGATAATTACATTCTAAACAGCAAGGCGTATTTTATTCAATACACACAGGCGCTACACACAGCATCCAATGCACTTAAAATGGCCATTAAACGTACGTAAAATATTGCATATTATGTGAATGACCTCGCTGAATGCACTGCCATCCACTAGATTATGCACGTTCGGTGTAACTGGCATGTGACTAAACGCGGCATTTCGGTGCATAACATGGAAATGACACAAATACATCTATACATAGTCAATGGCAAGTGAATGATTTAGTTGTCATTAAATCACAATTCATCCCTATTGATTAGATACTAGAGCTCGATCAACATGTTTATTTTAAACTTCTGGAGACATAGCTTGAATTAACTCATTTCTCGTCCAAATAGACTCAGATTTTTTAGCGGATCTCTGGAAAACTTTCCACAGAATCAAAGCTCAGATCAGATCTTTTCGACTCGATCTCCATTCTATCAGTTAAATATACGATTATTAATTTTTGACGGTAACAGGCGAAAAATCGGCTTTTCACACATTGGTCTTTCGGGAGTTCTGGTTGGGTGGGGAATGAAACGAACATCGCCACGATGATCAGTGTGGTCGATTACTTATGTTCCACATGTTTCTGAGATTCCCAGACGTGTCTGAAATGAGATAGGTGTGTCCTCGGAAAATATCTGTATCTCCAGAATCAAAACAGATGAAGACCTGGACCTTACATAACTTAGAAGAAAAATGTTTTGGCTATCGACTGCTATTATTTGAAAGTGGATGTCATAGTGTGATTTGGAAACGGTAAGCTTTCGGATTTTGCCTCGAATGATACACCTTGGTAAGCCTAATTGGGGTCCCTGATTTTCACATAGGTATACGTCCTCTGATCCCCTCTTTTGAATGGTGGAAACCTCAAATCTCTATCACTTTTCATTCAAAAGTTATAAGCCTTTAGCCCAATCTTCTTTTTAAATTTTGATAATAGTTATTTTATCTTTTCTAACTTACCTTAATGTACGCACATATTTTTCCCTTCAGTAATCGTAATTAATAATTGTAAACCATTCCGCGTGTCTGTGTGTTACTTTTTGCTCGTTTTGTTGATCTTATAATATTTGAATAAAAGACCGCTAAGAGGGCGCTCTTCAAAACTTGATCGAAACTCATTTCTAAGTATATGATCGATTTTCTGATATAGTGGTTTTTCCAACAACCCTAATCCAATTTTCAGCAAAATGGGTTATTATAAAAATGATCGTATCAGAAAGATAGCTCAATATTTTACCTTGAGCCTTGTATGGATTTTGACGAGCGCACTTTCAGGTACACAGTAAGACATCTTCAAGCTTTTCACGATGTTTTTTTTAAATTCTATAAATGGAACAAAATGATAAAAATACAACACAAACATTTGGTTGATCGTTACGCGGAATGGCTGTTTTAGGTATACTCTTCGCTTATCATCTCGTTTTTCTCAGCACATCTCTAGTACAAATCAACCAATCAAAAGGTAGACATTTCTTTTTTACACGATTCGAGATAAATGTAGGTTCTTTGCCTCTAACTTTTTGTGTTAACTTGATAAGAAAATCAGATTTGTGCGAATAAGAGAAACAGGTAGGCAAATAATCTTCTGCTATCCAATAAACAATCTCAATCCCATAATAGTAGAGGATTGTTTGTCTGTTTTAATTTTTTTATTTCGAACTAACTGTGTGATCGTGACTATTTCTTTGCACAAAATGTGGCGAACTATACGTTTGTGCGTGTTCTGTCAAGCACTCACAAAAAAAATATATCTTACTTACCAATCTCTGTCGTTTCGCCAAAAGACAATTCGCCATGGCGAATTGTCTTTTGGCGAATCGTCTTTTGGCGAAACGGTTTTTTACCTTACTTACTACTTTTACTTTCTCTCATATATTACGGGGAATGTCAGAGACAGCGCGTCTTGTGACAGAAGAATCACATCATTTGTATAACTACTAAATGTGACAATAGCTGCTCCCTATTAAAAAATCCTGTATATTGAATCGTTTTAAATATTTTGTACAAAAAAACAGTAGTTATAAAGGCTACGAAACCGTCTCTTAAACACTTTTGAAGAGTTAAGGAATTTGTAAATACAGCGTGCTAGCCTCCCATGTTGTCGAAACCGGACGAAAACCGTCGTTTAACCACGGTTATCTTACGAACCGATGGTTAACCGCGGTTATTTCAGCTGAAACCATAGCAACACAGCAGAAAAACCGTCCGTTAACCTCACAATTAACCGGGAAAAATGGTCGGTACCGACCGTCCGAACCGTAAGTTTTTCCGGTTAATTGTGAGGTTAACGGACGGTTTTTCTGCTGTGTTGCTCATTGAATCCTCGAACCTCTGTTGTGTTCGGAAGAAAAGAGAATAAAAGTGAGCTAGTATTTCTGGCCCACCCGTTTTCACCGATCTTTATACATCCATACATGTTCATCTGACGGTTTCTCATCGTAGTGGCGACAGAGTTTCCAATCAGCGCTCTCATGTGTATAGGAGACCAACAGCCATTAGAAGAGCCAATGCACATAATAGATCATGTCCAGATGCATTGTGTGTAGTCGAACTCTACTTTATATTCAGATCGCAGACTAGGATGAAGAGTTGCAGAAGCAGAAACAAGCAATGGAAACCATGCTAAAAGATCATTCGCTAGCATCTGTTCTTTGCAATTACTATTTCACTACCAAAAAAAGGCTATATATTGACAATACTAATCACGAAAAAACAAATGAAGTCAGTACTACGTAAGTCTCTCGTGGATATCATTGAAATGCAAATAGTAGTTCGATCGTTAAATTAAACGTTTGCGGTATCTAATTTGAAAAATCGATTGTCCAATGGATCAATAGCATAATCCTCGGGTAGTAGACTTTGATCGATTTCCACAAAACCTTTTTTTAAATAAAATCCGATAGCTCGTGCTTTATTTGTTGCAGTGCCAAGATAAATTGTTGAATTTTGTGCATGTTCTATTACACATGTCATCAGATCGGCACTAACACCTTTCCCACGATAATCACCATCAACAAAAAATCGTTTCACTTCATACTCTTTCTTATTTAAATATTTAAGACCAACTGTTCCAATAATTTTGTTTTCGTTAGATACAGCAACCCAAAAGTTAACTTGATTCGTCAATGGGCAATAAAAATATGTGTCGATATTTCTCAATGGATATATATCGTTCTCATTTAGCTCTATGTCAAATTCTTGATGTTGGATTTTACTTATAAATGACACTATTTCGTCACTATCAAGACCAGAATGGTAACGAATGATTTTATACCCGCTCATATATTTGATCGACTAATTTTCTTCGTTTTATATCGTTCCTTCTATCTCATTGTTTGATGATCTTTATATGTTGTAAACTATTATCATGGAGAATGATCATAGTGATAATAAAAGCTCAGTTATAACGTGTAAGTGGCCATTTATTTGTTTTTCAATACTGATAACATAAGGTCATCATAGCTACAGTAATAAATGTCAATAAAAATAAGAAAAGAAATACGTTCGTACATCATTTGAAGAGAACAGAAAAAATTAATGTTATCACCTTTATTCGAAATGTTATTATTGAAGTAGTCTCCAGAAACACAGTTGATATGTCGTAGGATTATTTGCTTACGTTGAATCGTTTCTCGTTCGTATGACTGATCCTTTCATATGTTGACGGAAATGTATCGATAGACTTTCAAAGGATATGAAATTAAAACTACTCTTATTCTCTAATGAATGTGAAAGTAGTGAAAGAAAAGAGAATAAGGTCACTAATTTTGTCTCATCCCATAATCAAACGTTGGACAGATATGAGAAGAGAAGAAAAGAAAAGACGTCCAATATTGAGTAACTTTTCTATGGAACCTTTTTTTATGAACGTTTCTAGCGTGTAGAGAAAAGTGTGCTGAATCCAATAATGGAATGTGACTGTGAAAATTCGTTTTACTTTTCGAGTTACAGTTATTTTACTGTACTAGGCCTGTCCAAATGTAACGAAATTTCATTTTTCTAACTTGCGCGCCCTCTATCTTGGTAGGCATAGAATAGGTAAACGAGAAATTTTTATCAAATCTGTAGCCCGTCTGGTTCTGCTACGTAGAAAATTTGAGGTTGATTTCATTCATCCGATCAAAAGTTATAAGCACAATGAAGGCGGTAACGGAATTTCCAAAAATGGACGGTTTTATTCGAAGGTTTTAGAACTTTCATAATTTCTCTAAAATTCAACATCACAGGAAGACTTTGTTTGTATGAAACTTGTAGAATTTTCTTCAGGCTTTCAGAATATCTAATTGGTTTTGCTTGAAGATGTCTGGATCGAAAAAAAGAGCAAAACTACGTCCATAACGGAATTTCATCTTTGTTTGTAGTTCCATATACAGTGATTACTCCCCATTGCGAAGTTTCACTGGGAGAAATTTCACGTGATACGGTTGGCTGACCGGACGAAATGCTGATGAACCCCACTCAAATTAAGGATAGAAACTCTTTTCCCGATACATTCTGATTCCGAATCACATCTCAAAATTTGAAAACTTTAATTTTAAAGTGGGTTTTGAAGTTCAAAAGCCACTTTAAAATTGAGATTTTCAGTTTTTGACCTCTGATTCGTGATCAGCGTGAAAAAGTACGTTTAATGATGTGTGTCGCAAAACTAATAGGGAAAAGAAATTTTGGCGCAGTAGATTTCTGATCTCAACCGGCGGAGTCCTTTCCAAATAATTCTATAATGCAAGATAGCGGAAAAAAAAGGTAAAGGAGAACAGAAAACAAAAGTCGTTTACAGTGATCGCCAAAATTATTCACCCACCTTTGTCTGTAGATTTTTTCTTGTTTTTTCGTGAATAAAAAAGAACCCAATTAGTACTTCGTGTAGAGGAAATTCTCGCCTACAAGAATATGACATGGCAGAGAAGGACTGTCTCGTTCGAGGGTTTAGAAGCTCAAAAAAGCCGAAACCATGATTTTTGATCATTTTGACAAAAAAAATCAGGCTCATCCAAATGGTCTAGATTTGTAGAGCGAAAAATTTTGAACAAGATGAGACGTCCCCGAGGTCTGTACGATCAAATTTCGCAGTGATACGTCAGTTTCAGCGGAGGGACCAAAACCGATTTCACATGGAAAACATCAAAAAATGAACTTAAAGCAAGCAACGATGGTGAGTAAGAGTGGTCACCAGCTACTAGTC